TCTGACCTCTGACCTCTGAGCTCAGACCTGACGTCTGACCTCTGACCTCTGATGTCTGAACTCTGACCTGACGTCTGAGCTCTGACCTGACGTCTGACCTCTGACCTCTGAGCTCTGACCTGACGTCTGACCTCTGACCTGATGTCTAAGCTCTGACCTCTGACCTGACGTCTGACCTCTGACCTGATGTCTGAGCTCTGACCTCTGACCTGACGTCTGACCTCTGACCTCTGAGCTCAGACCTGACGTCTGACCTCTGACCTCTGATGTCTGACCTCTGACCTGACGTCTGAGCTCTGACCTGATGTCTGACCTCTGACCTCTGACTTCTGAGCTCTGACCTGACGTCTGACCTCTGACCTCTGATGTCTGACCTCTGACCTGACGTCTGACCTCTGACCTGACGTCTGACCTCTGACCTCTGAGCTCAGACCTGACGTCTGACCTCTGACCTCTGATGTCTGACCTCTGACCTCTGACTTCTGAGCTCTGACCTGAGCTCTGACCTGATGTCTGACTTCTGACCTCTGACGTCTGACGTCTGACCTCTGACCTGATGTCTGACCTCTGACCTCTGACGTCTGATCCGACCCAGCTGAGCCGTTATGGTTCTGTCCTCCAGGTTTGTGAAGGAGAAGCGTCCGACCATCTCACCTAACTTTAACTTCCTGGGTCAGCTGCTGGACTTTGAGAAGAACATGAAGAGTTCTGTTTGTGACGACAGGAAGTCCCTCCTCTGTGACGCTCCCGCTCAGCTGGAGGAGGCGGAGCCTCGGCCCGATGGGCCCAGTTCGGTCCAACCGGAGCCCTGTGTTCTGGTGGACGGCCCAGAGGACCTGGCTCAGGTTCTGGGCGCTCTGCAGTGCTCTGACGGTCCAGAGGACAGCGCCCGGCTGAAGCGCTCCTTCTCTCTGGACATCAAGTCGTACGGCGAGGCGGGTGGAAGCCCCGCCCACCGAGGCTTTGGTGAGGGGGAGGAGTTCTACAAAGAGAGCAGCAGTAAGGCGTGTCAGTTCTCTCCGGTGGAGGAGGTCTCGGAGCAGTCCACTCCAGAACACAGCCCTGATAATGACGAGGTGACCGGTCCGGATCCAGCGGCGCCGCCCTTTCCTGTGGCTCCGCCCAGACCGCCAGCTGCTGCGTCCTCCGGTCATCAGCTGCGGCGCCGAGGCAGCGTGGAGGAGACCACCACCAGCTTCCTGTTGGGACTGTCACGCAGCCATCAGCAGCTGCCCCGCCCCACCCCCGGCCCCGCCCCCAGCCCCGCTCTGAAAGGCTGGCACTCAGACATCCTGCTGGGACCCGTCATAGGCTCCGCCTCCTCGCTGGTGGGGGGCTGGTACCTGTCCTCAGAGTCCACCCGCTTCTACTCCTCCTACGGCTGCGGTCACAGCATGGAGACGGTCCGGCGCCGCAGCCGGGGAGGGGGCGGAGTCAGCGGCGACTCGAGGCGGAGCTGGCACGAAGAGAGCAGCTTCGAGAAGCAGCTGAAGAGGCGGAGCTGCCAGATGGAGCTCGGAGATGGCTCCGCCCAGGAGCTGGTGAAGGTGGCCAGTACCTCCAGCTTCTCCGGCAGCATGGAGGTCATCCAGGTGTCCTGAGGCTCCGCCCACTGTGTCACCTGCTGCTGCTCAGGCTCCGCCCCCTGCGTCACCTGCTGCTGCTCAGGCTCCGCCCCCACACTAACTCTGAAAATCACAGTGTGTCAGCTGATGGAGGCGGTCCAACATTCTGTCACAAAAGGTTCTGGTTCTGGTTCTGGTATCTGAGAACATTTCTGATCCAGCAGAACAGAGTCGGTTCTGACCCGGACCTGGACTCAGAACCAGGTTTAGTTGTTTTGTCAGGTGAACCTGATCTGATTCTAATGATTGTATTTCTGTCCTGCTTCAGGTTCTGGTTCTGACCTGGATCAGGTTCTGGACTTGAACCTGCAGGAGGTTCTGTTCATCACTGATCAATAAAATATTTAAAATGATCTTTTCCTGAAATTCTTTCATTAAGAAAAATTATTTATCTTCTGAGTTCTGATCCATGGTTCTGATCCATGGTTCTGATCCATGGTTCTGATCCATGGTTCTGATCCAT